ATGTTGGACAGTGTGTATACATGAGGAATACATGACAGTATGAGGGAAGTATGTATATGAGGGGTGAATTCTGTTGCGATTCAAGACGCCTCATCTGTGACCTCATTATGACAGAGTAATACATGAACCATGAACTCATGGGGCAAATGGCTTGAGACTGCGGAAGGAGATGCGCACAGTGCATCATGTTTGAGTATTTAAAAAGATTTTTCTTAACACCTTACATAATTATCTATGTTTGTTTGTTAATAATAATATATGTTTCATTCATTAAAGAGTGTTTGATGCAAAAGACGTAAGATTACATTAAAAAGGAAGATCACCTAGTCGCCCTTATAAAAGAACCCACAGAAAACTAGGTAGGCATTTGTTTTATATTTCACTCTTGATTTAATTTTAAGTACCACAATTTTAAGTGGCATCATAATGTGAGCCCACTAGGTTGAATTTGAACTGAGATTTAAAAAAGCAACAAGCAAAAATGGATTTAGAAAAAGTAACAAGCTGCATTAACAGCATTACTTACAAAACTGACAAATAAGCTAGACACAGAAATTGCTAATGAGGATGACAAAAAGTTAAAAGAAAGATAAAAAGTTGTAAACTGTGATAAGAAATGTTTGTGCAGTTAACTAGTCAAGAAGAACTGAGCTGACAAAGGTATTGAAAATTTAATTGATAAAAAAAGTTAAAAAGAAGAAATAATTTCTAGAGAAGAGTTTAAAGAAAAAAATATTGTTTGGAAATAATGCACATGATTTAGATGCTAAGCCACATAGTGATTCTACTTCATGCGAAATTGTTACTGAATTGCAAAACAAAATTAACTCCCAAAAACTGGCCTTGAGAACTTTTTCAATAAAAGACAAAAAAAAAAAAAAAAAAAAAAAAAAAGGGTGGGGGGCAAAACAAAAGTCTACAAGCACAAGATAAATTTAAAGTCAATTCTAATTTCCGAAACATTTTGCAGATTCATACAGTACCTTATTTTATCCAATACTAATAAATGTGATCCTTAATGATTTAGCCTTAGAATTTAATAGAAAATATACAAATGAAAACCAGACTAAAATTACTAATTTTCTAAATTTCCTAAGAAAGGAAAAAGTAAGTACAGAGGGCACAAGATTTTTATCAAGCCAGCAGATTCTAAGAAAGAAAATCACATTTTGAAAACAAGTGACAGTTTTGAGAACACTTTCAAGACAATGAAAGAAATCAGGATTATTATGAGGGTAGAAGAATTCCTTCAGCAGCCAAATTGAACACTTCTCTTTCTAATCGCTATTTATTCTGATTTGAAAATCGTATTCTGAATCACCTTAAAGAAATGGACCAGAAAAAAAAAAAAAAAAAGGTGTTAAAATGAAGCAGAAATTGTTTCATATGTCTTAAAAAGTATCATTTATCTTAAGACTGCAAATTGAAACTAAGCTGTCAAATTTGGCATCATACACTGACATACAATGAAGAAGCAAAAGTGTCAATCAAGAGGTCCAGTCAAGGGTTGGTCATGGCTTCTGTTTCGAATTGTGCATCAGAAAATAACTCTATTTCACTTCAGACACTTTGAGATTAAATTATAACACAGACAATCACTGCTGTCATAGCTCTGATATACAATTAGATTTAAGATCACAGTGAACATTTAATAACTCTGTTTTAGTTCACTTAGAGTTCAAATTATAAACACAGACAATCTGTGCCTGCATTGCATTCATATACTGTTAGATTTAGAATCACAGGACATCTGTAGGAAATTAAAACTGCCAGTTTCATCTATTTGATTATGGCAAAGCACTCGAGGAATATCTGCCTAAAGGGAGAGATACCTTTGTGGAGGACTCTCTAAGAGAAACTGGCTCACATACATGTTACACATGGGGAAAAACATGAAAATGCATATACGGCTGGCCCATTCACAGGATTCAAACCTTGGACGTCAATTACAGAAGAGGAAAAAGTAAAAATATTCTCATTTGGATGCATGATGCCTGTGCTTCAGGCATCATGCATCCAAATGAGAATAAGAAAATTGAAGTGAAAAAGAACCAGTCTCCTTTCAAAGAATCGATGAAATTAAAATAAAAGCATTAATTACCTCTCTTATTAACGGATTATATATTCATTCCCCCAAAAACAAAATAGCTAACTTTATTAAAAATCCAGGAATACAATTTTCTGATGAATGGGATAATGAAAAAAAGCATAAAAAATTTTTTTGCTATTAGGAACAGATTTTTATTCTAAAATAGTTACGAGCAAGGTTCACAAACTGTTCCTTAGTAGCACTCACAACAAAATTAGGCTGGGCAGTTTGTGGGACAAAAAGAACTCATGGAATTTCACCAACTAGTGTGAATGCTATGAAAGTAATGGTTCATGATAATGAAGAGACATAGAACAAATCACCATCTAATTTACTTAAGAATCTCTAGGAGCTCAAATCCATGGAGGGTAAATTATGATTCTAATAAGGAATTTGATTTAGAAAATAATTTAATATGAGAATTTTGAAAGATTTGTGAAATATGAAAACAATTGTTATACTGTTCCCTTTCCCTGGAATCATAATTTAAAAGAACTAGGAGATAATTTTGAGATTGCTAAAATTAGATCTAAGAGTTAATAAAGTAATTGATAAACATTTAAAAGAAGGAATTGCCAAAGAGACTAACACTGAAATAACACCAAAAGCGTATTTTATGCCATATCAAGCTGCTATAACAGAAAATAAAGAAGCTATGAAAAGGTGTATGGAGCTGCTCTGTGTTTTCATTATTCAAAGAATTAAATCATCCACACAAGCTTCATTACATCAAAATCACCTTTGAAAGAATTATCACTTCCCAGATTAGAACTGATGGGTGCTTTGATAGGCTCCTGCTTGTCAAAATACATTCCAAGGAAACTTCAGGACACTGACTAAATTGTATGTTTATGGATTGATGCTAATAGAACATTAGACTGGATTTGAAGCAATGTTAAAAAATGGGAGCCATTTGTACAAAATAGAGTGATAGAAATACAGAAGAATGAGATGTACTGAACTGGAGGTATATTCTCCGGTAAAGATAATCCAGCTAACTTGCTAATTAGAGGCAAAAATGTCAAAAATCTGAAACAGAATAGTGTATGATGGAAAGGGCCAACATGCTTAAGAGAAGAAATGGAAGATTGGCCAAAACTGAATGGTTGCTTCATGAAGAACACTGAAGATTCCAACAAGGAACTGAGGAAAACACAAAAACAAGTATCTGTAAATTCATGTGTTGCAGAAACTTCTGAAAACTTATTACTTAAAATTACAGCAATTTATATCAAATTTACAAAATTATTGCATGGGGCTTAAGGTTCATTACCTCAAAGTTATTTGGATGTTTGATGGCTACCGAAATTGAAATGGCAAAAACTTATTCCATCAAATGTATTTAAGAGTGAAATTTGCTAGATGAAATATGTGCATTAAAGGACAACAATCAAGTTCAGAATCAAAACTGAAGTTCCTCTATCCTTTTGTAGACAAAGATGGTTAATCCATATGGGTAGATGGTTATAAAATTAAAATTTGGACTACAAACGAAAGCATTCATCATGTTGCCTGATAAAGATCATTTGAGTGATCGAATTATTCTGCACAACTACCAGATTGTACTGAGAGGAGGAAAATAAAACACTTAAAATCAAAGAGACTAATTTTGGTTACTGAATGCTTATAAGAGGATTAAAACTGTTATGTACTACTGTAATGTCTATAAAATATTTGTAAAATGTGTTAAAAAAAACTGATCCTGCAAGATATGGCACCCTTCCCAGAAGACAGATGCCAAGAAGCAATCCCATCCGAAAACACTTAGACAGACTACACCAGCCCACTGTACCATTGGAAGAGAATTACATAAGACGTAATATTCTACTTACTTGTGCTGTAACTAAAGCAGTGAATTTAGAGAATTTAGAGCTGATGGCAGACTTGTCAACATAAAAATTCTTGTTTGCATTCAGACTCTTTGTAAAGAGAAAACATTTGTTGAAAACGTTCATGGGGCAGATGGCTTGAGATCACAGAAAGAGCATAGAGATTCACATACTAAATTGTGCTTGGTTATTTAAAAATTTCACTCAGATGTTCTTAACATCTCATATAACTATGTATATCTATTAATATTAATGTATGTTTCATTCATGAAAATGTGTTTTGTGCAAAAGATTGCCCTCACAAAAGAACCCCTGGGAAACTAGTGTTCATTTCATTCCTTACAATATTATAAATGCTGCAAAATATAAAATGAAAGCCCATCTAAATTATACATTTAATTATAATTTTCAATCTTACTTTTTATTCACATTTTTCACAAGAGCGTAATAAACTAATTACCTAGCAGTGTGATATTTAATAAAAAGTTGCATATCATTGAATAAGACAATATGTTACCTCAAGGATTGCATATTTCAATTCATTCAACATTTTGCACTGGAATTCATAATGTGGCAATTCTTAATGCCATTGAAGATCTTAAAAAATTTATACAGAAAAAAAATCATGTAAGCACGATTGTAAATTATTTAATTGTTATTAGACAAAATATCTATTGAAAAAATGGCAACAGCTAATTTCTGGATGTCGTTCTATTTATAATTTAAAAAAAAGAATTTCAGATGATGTATGCTTAAAAAAAATGTTTAACGGTACGATGCAGTAAGTACGTTTGTTATGTTATGTACGTTTATGAAAACGTTACATGTAGGTTATTAAGATTTATCTTTAAATAAATGTTTGTTTGTCTTTTACAACCATTTTATGAGTGATTAATTTAACTACAAAAGGAAGTTAACAATCAGTAACAGTTTTCAGTAAAAGAACAGTAAATAATCAGTAAAAGAACTTTTAATTTAAATCTCCAAGAAGATGCTTATATACATATACAGATAGAGCATGGCATGTATAAAACCTAACTGCAATACCCAAAATATGATGCAAAATATTTTTATATTCTTACTTAGCATGTAATGCTTCCCATTTAAGAACTTCTTGCCATGCGGCTTCATTATTTACATTATGAATTCGGATAATGTGAGCCATATCATTAGGGAAAATATCAGATTCCTTCCACCTCCAGCCTTTTCGAAGCATTGCATTCCAAAACATCTGCTGAGATGGATACACCCAAACCTCATTTTCAGATCCAGCTTTAGGAATAGTTGATGCTTCACGATCTTTGGATAAAGGAAATGGTTGATCAGGAGCTGGATTCTGATTCATAGGCGGCATCTAAAAGTAAATGATCTATAAATGAAACAATTAAGTAATTGAATACAAATACTTACATCAGCAAATAGAAAAAGAGTATAAATAACTGACTTATATGCAATTTTTAAACATATTCCGAGTTCAAATTACATTAAATTATATTAAATGGGGGAAAATGAATTTTTGTTCCCTCTCTCAAGATAGCAGCAAAGCTTTACTACAGACTGCAAGACAGAATTTTATTATTGACCATTCACAGAACTACAAGTTTGCTTGATAAAATTTTTCATTTATGCAAAGGATGGGGAAAGGAGGGAACCCTCTAAATGCTAAACCTCAGTGCAAGCACAGAAAGGTTATTTTAGATGATATTGCATGGAACTTTAGCTGCACTGATTGGCCTTATATATCTGAATGACTTATGATCCTTATTTTTTTACATCAGCCACCAAAGTAGTAAACTCATTCTCAAACCTATGTTTACATTTGTACATAAAACTTACTATGCTGTTTTATACTGTTTATGTGGCAAGAAGGACTGCAGGCACTTATTTACATCAAAACACCATGTGCTGTGTGGACTACAGAGAAGCACTTGCATTGAAATTGCTCATTCCTCACTTGAATTTGGCAACGTACCACATACATTGTAAACTACATAAAAACTAGCCTGCTGAAAGCAAGAATTAAAAAAAAAAGCTGTGTTAGGACATGAACACACAGCCTTGCTGTACAATTGCAGTTCAAAATGGCATTTGCATGGCAAAGCATTTGAGCTGCGTCAAGAAATTCACACTTTTCTGCAAGAGGAAGCTCTTCAATCGCTAAGTATTTTGCTGAACCAGACATTTTGCTAAAACTAGCATATTAGTACAACATTTTTGAGAAACTAAATGTCTTGAATTTGTCTCTAAAGGGCAATGTATGCACATTTTAAAACTTGTAGAAAAGATTTCAGAGTTTAGAAAAAGCTGCATTTGTGCATAAGAAAACTGACTGACTGGGCTGCTCAAAGCTGTTTTTCTACATTGTACCAATACACAGGTTCTAAAAAAGGCACTGTTCTACAGAAATTTCTGCACCTTTTCATGAAATACCTCTCAAAGCTCACTCACTGATTTGCAAAATATTGTGCGGAAGATAACATAGAGAAATTTATGTTGATATAAGATTAGATTCATTAGGCAAATAGAGTTTTAATGAACTCTTTTGTGATAACATTCTGAAAACAAAATTTGCTTGCTGAGATTTAATGGAGTTTTGAATCTCAATCAAAATTGAGTATTCAACTTTAAATTCTAAAGCTCTAAGGATCCTCATTTCCTTTGCCATATCCTATCTATGCGAGGCTGGATTTTAATTTGACGCTGTATTAAGGACCAAATACCACTCGAAAATCATTGTGGAGCAAGAATTGAGAATAGCGGTATCAAGCCTACTTCTGAAATTTGAAAAATGGTGTGGGGATCAACAAGCTCACCTATCAAATTGACTTATTAATCTGTCACTGGAGATTTCTTTTATTTGTATTTAATTTGTATGTTTTCTTATCAATTAAAATTATAGTTTTTCACTAAAATGTCTCTTCATTTCTGTGCCTGATTAACACTGTAGTAGAAATATTGCAACATGGGTGCAGTGAAAAAATAACAAAACTACAAGTATACAGCGTATTGAAGTTCAGAAATTCAGGAACCTCTGGCATATAGCATTTTTGATCAATTTGAAATTAAATTAGTTTCATATTCCTATAATGCACTTTTAATTACTTTTAAATTCCAATCCTCCCCTTCAAATGTAAAGTGAATTTTTACAAATATAGTCTTCATTACATGGGGTAACAGTTGTTTCTTTCTTATTCTAGAAAGAAAAAGTTACTCTGAAGAAATATAAAACAGTTCTAACTCAATAAATAATTTTAAACTCTGATTATTACCATATTTGTACAACTAAAAGATGATGATGCATGTAAGATGACTCTATCCTTTTACAATATTTTACAAAATAAAACAAACACTCACACACACAAAGGTTAGAAACAGTGGCATGCAATGGTTTTTATTAAAGGAGACTACGAATGAAGAAAAATTATGATTCTCTTTAACAAACTACATATGGATGGTGGTGATTGTCATTTCAAAAAGGTTGATTTCAGTATTATTTAAAGTCTTGCAAACACTGGTGACATTCAGAAGTGATCAGATGGTCATCACAACAGGGTATTACCATATTTTGAATATGAAGACTACTCACATAATTTGAAGACTATTAAGTTCAATAGTAGTTAATACCCTCTGAAAAATTTATAAAAATCGGATAGAGAGGGGAAGCCATAATAAATATGTTTTTAATTTAATGGATGTCATGATTAGTTCAAAATATTATTTCTCAAAATGAGCAAAAGGTCACCAAGATAGATTTCTTTGTTTTGCTATTAATCATTTTGAAATTATATATTATACTTTAATATTATTTCATGCTTGCACAAATAATGATAATATTTCATGCTTGCACAAATAATGAGAACCTGTGGAGTAGATCTGTAGAGTCATTATTTTGAAGCAGAAGGGATGTAAAATGAGCAATGCCCTTGCCGGGACTCGAACCATGGACCTCTGGAATACGCGCCGAGCATGCTGACCACTACACAACAAAGGCATGCTAACAAGGCGGGAGAAATACCTTATAGATCTACCAATTATCATTATTTATGTGTCTTTTGAAAATATATTATCTCAAAGTATATGATAGATAAGTGATTAAGACCATTGCAACACTGGCAGCTGATGAGCTTATTGTAATAAAACAGCTTTGAAGGTTGATTGTGCATGCTCGGCGATGATATCTTACCTCAGGAATAGCTCTACATACTGCTTCTCTCTCCTTAGTTTAAACTTGAAATTACTGCATCAATATATGAGACGCATTCATAAAGTAACTCGACAAATTAAAAGACCAAATGATAACATAAAAAGTGAAAGAATATATGTTTAGATACAGTGACATTTCAACTCTAACAAAAGGCAGTTTAAATTAGTCATTTTCATATCAGAATGCTTGAGTTGTTTTCATTTACTGATAAGGCATACTACAAAAAAACTTGCTTTGAGATAGAATAACGTTTAACATTAAATTTTGTTACAAATTAGTTAAACCTACTACTGAAGTGTTACAGGTGATTCGAACAGTATAAGGTGATGCATCATTACCAAGAACACAAGTGCATGAGTCATACAACCTCTTTAAATGAGGCACAAAAGCACTGGAGAGGAAGTAAAGATAGGGTGCATTTCAAGTCTTGCATTTTGCAAACAGTTAGTTCCGGTGCCTATAAACAGCATTTCAATGACCTGAAGAAACATTGAAAAATTGTATAGACTCCTCTGTTAATTATTTTGAAGGTGATAAATTTATTTAAAGAGTAGCACTTTTTTTTCTCATTTATAAGAAATTGTTCAGTTACTTCATGGGCACAACTTGTATTTTACTTTGAATTCTTCCACATACCATGAGAGTTGCTTTCATGGAAGCAAACTAAAATAAAGAGCTAAGAATTAAATTAATTTCGCTTACAAGAATCAGGAGAAAAGTAAACTTTCATATGAAATGCATAAAAAGTTAAAAGACTAGCTTAGTTCCTCTAACCCACTGATATCACACCACTGGTTAGTAAGATGGCATATACAAATTAAGAACTATGTTAAAAGTATATAATAAAAAAAGATAATTAAATGGCTTAAATGTCATATTTTAAAATAAAATTAAATTTTGTACAGTCTGGTTATTCACATCCTCATTAAAAAGTCATGAAAAAAGGTCTGCGAGCCAAAGTAACATGTTGCCAAAATAGCTTTGTGGCAAACCACAACAACAACCAAAAAGTATTTAAGCAGCAATCCTAGTATGCGTAGCACGCCTATTTTGGCTGGCGCACAATAATGAAGTTGTATGAATGTTGAATCTGTGCAATTCTCTGACTTTTTGATACGAAAACAGGATTTCTCGAAAAAGATAAGTGTTTTATTACCGATGTTCCTAACTTTTTAAAAAATTTTAGTGATTGATTGCTCTTGTATGGAATGCTTAGGGGGTTGGAATTTTAAAAATGGCTGTTCCCCTTTGTGAATTAGCTTGGCAAAATATTAATCACCAGCAAGTTTACAAATGCTCTCCAAAGCTGACAAAAAGTTTGCAACATTTCAATGAGGCTGCAGATAGTCAGAAAGTATCCAAATTTTTTCAATGCAAAAATTAAAAAATAAGTGATAAATTACTTAATATATATTTTTTTAATATTTAAGTATATAGGACAGCTTTGGGCTTCAAAAAGGTATTTTATGAATAGGCCAACAAAGAACAATACAGAGACAGCTTGTTGATTTGACCTTTATTCCAATGTATGCACCTGTTGTATACATAAACTTTTACTTCCTTTTTCTTCTCCTTTTTTCCCTCCCTTTTTCTATTTTGCTTAAAATCAATATGTTAAGTTAAACATTTAATATTAACTTGTTTCCAGTTTCTTTTTTCTAGTGCTAAATTGTCACCCAACAGTAAATCTGAATTCAATAGTGAACTACTTTCAATCAGCAAATGAATGGCTTGCTAATAAAATTTTGTTAAATACATGCAATATTTTTATTATACACAAAACATTTTTACAGACATTCGCATATCAATAACAGAACACTTTTTACTCCTTTAAATTATTCAATTTCTGTAATTAACTGTAAGTATGTAAAAGGCAAACTATCAGAATAATTGTTAAGAATATTATAATCATAAAGCATATTACAAATTTAATAGGAAACATTAAAATAATTTTAAAACTTTTTTCACTCACAATTAATAAACAATACTTATAATATTTACCATATTGTAGGGGTTGACATCATCATCAGAAGTTCCAGTAACAGGACATTCACTCTTTGCTTGTGGCATTTCCTTCTCATTATGTTTATAAGGACAGGAACCTAATTTATCAGCAGCACCTCCTATGTTTTCTGGTATGTGACCTTTACTTTCCATATCTTTATTTAAAGTTTGTGTTAGTGGAGGCACTGTAGTTGTTGCATTCACAGATGAGGATATATTACCCATTGCTTTTAAAGTAAGTAAAAAAATAAGGAAAGACGATAATGTTGCTTATGAAAAATTTTCATATAACACAAGCTATTAAATTAAAACAGAAGTAAGCACATACATATAAAAAATTTTATAAATCCATTTTTGCAAATAGAGTACAAAGTCTGAAATCCAGATGTTCAATATCTGGATTTCCTAACTGGCAGAAAACTAAAAAATTCTGTTTATGCTTTAGGTTGGGGCATTTCATATTTTTTCATAATAGTACAGAATTGCAATTCTTAGTTTACCTGGGGAACCATTATTTTTTATTTTTTGCTTTCATTATCACAACATCAACACACTACAGCTTGAGAAATAACTCGTATAGCAATGTCGAAACACTTTTTTTTTTTTTTTTTTAAGTAATTTAATTCCAAAGAGGATGGCAACCTGTTGACATTAGGCTTGGTGATGCTTATAGACTTCAGCTAACACCATTGCAAAGTATTGAGCATGTTGATGAGGAGAAATTTAATAGAAATTTCTATATGGGAAAAAAAAAAAGTAAATTATATCAACAAAATTAAGAAATGGCAAAATCTTTAGAAACTAGGGATCGCACTGAAATTCAAAATTGAGGGGCAATTAAATTTTCAGAGTTTAGGAAAGCAAGAATTCAGAGTTTAGGAAGGCAGCAGAATTTAGAGATAGCATTGGACTAAATGTCTAACACCAACCCTGGACCCCAACTTCGGCTATTCCGGATTATCGATTTTTCCGGATTATAAATCATCAGTTTAAATCTGGTAAGATGGCATGCAGAAATTATAAAAATTAAAAATGTGAAACCGTAATTAATGAAATAAAGAACAATTATGACCTAAAGGGTATCAAAATTTACAAAAAGAAAAAGACTTAATATTTATTTGTTTACTTTATTAAACATTTCTTTCAATGTAAGTTGTTTAAGTTGCTTCGTTTCATGTGATAATTCTTTCTCTTTAATTTTATTAAACAGACATAATTTCTTGTTAATTACAAAGTTCTGCTGTTCAAGTCCTATAATTGCCGAGTCGAGAATACTGACTAATTAGTCAATCAAAATGTGTTTTCATTTTCAATAACCTCTGCGTCACTTTCTTCACTATCGGAAGCGAATTATAATGACGAGGAACTTGATTTAAATCATATCAAAGACGGAGTACATCGAGATGAAATACTACATTTAGTAAGGAATTACAAGCCAAATAAAATAAAAACATCTGCCCTGAAGATAAGAATAGTGCTGACAGATGAACTTCCAATTCATTGCACGCAGCGTCGTTTCCCTCCCACCTCAGAGCAGCGTGAAATTGATAAACATATTTCAGAATGATTAGATAATCAAAGAATATGCCTATATCCATTTTTTGCAGCAATTCCACTTTCTGTTTAATGGACTTTGAAATATACTTTCGCTTTTTAGATCCTTTACGTATTGGTAAATATATATCGGAAATTTTATTTGACATAATCGAAAGTTCAAGCTTACTTTTATAAAATTGCTCTAACAGTCTGCAAAAAATAATAAGCCGGATTCAATTCGAAGATTAAGGAACAACGCAATCTGCAACATTAACTGAATTAGATAATTTTAGCTTAGCTTATACCGTCATTATACATTAAACGCGCATTCGTTAACATATTTTGCGCATGCGCACATGCATATTCGCACCTGTAAGGTCTAACGCGCATTGATGCATGCGCAGAAAGTTTGTAGGTTCAAAGTCTGGATTATAGATTGTTCCAGATTATGGGTGTCCAAATTAATGACTTTTGACTGTACTTCATTTCTTTTTTTAGATTTTTATGGCCCTGAAAACGGTCCCCCTCCTTTTTTAAAAACCTTTGCCTTTAAAAACATATTACTCGTGGTGTATTACACTGAAAGGATATAATCTTTAATTGCATTTAAATTTTCCATGAATGGTTTATGCCGCTACATTTTAACTTCACAATGAAATAGGTAATTGAGTATGTGATCAGTCAGATTTTCTTTATCACTTTTTTTTTCTTCTTAGTGTTACCTTTACAGGCTGCCTGTTTCATTCTTTATATTAGGTATGTCTACCAGTTGCCAGATTAATGAAATTTGTGGAATGATCAACAATCTGATGCATATAATACACATATCTGCATAAGAATGAAAGTATCCACCATTCATCAGCCACAATAGTGATTGCCTTTACATCTGCCTCATGCTGCTTAATAAGTGGCATCAGAATCTCTGCTGATTTGTTGTCTGCAGTGCACATACTTTTCAGGAAGGGAATAATCCTTCTTATATGCACCACTGCAGCCAAACACCTGTCTTGTACAACTTTCTTAACTAAACGAAAATAATTCCATCTATTCATAGTTAAAAAAATTCAGAAAAAGTAATACAGTACAAAGTCTGTAATCCGGACACGTTAGGACTTTGGCGATTCTGGATTAGATGTTTTTCCGGATTATAGATCATCAATTTAAATCTGGTAAGATGGCATGCAGAAATTATACAATGAAAAATATGAAATCGTAATTTATGAAATAAAGAACAATTATGATGTGAAAGGTATCAAAATTTACCTAAAAATATTAATATTTATTTGTTTACTTTATTAAACATTTCTTTCAATGTAAGTTGTTTAAGTTACTTTGTTTTTATTTTCTCTTTAATTCTATAAACAGACATAATTTCTTGTTCAGTTACAAAGTTCCACTGTTCAAGTCCTGTAACTGCTGTGCCAAGAATACTAACTTATCAATAGAAATATTTTCGTTTTCAATAACCTCTCTGTCACTTTCTTTACTATCGGAAGCGGTATTTTCTGGATCTAGAACCATACTACAGATTTTGCCATCCGTTAATTGATTGATGATTGGGGGCATTGTCGTTGCAATGGAAAACATCTGTTATATCATTTTTATTTATTACCACTTAACCAAAGTTCTTTAGAAAATCCATAAACTGGAAAATTTCACCTTTAGTTTGTGATGTCCAAAAACCTTCAAATTCGCGGGTATCATCTTTATCATCCTCATCATGAAATATGGTAGCTGGCCTAAATTATGCCAAGTATTTTTTTATTGCATCTGGAGACACATCCTCCCACGATATTACGATGCTCCACAAAGCAGATTTTATGCTAAAAAATTTCAAAAAATTTTGAATAGTCTTGCCATTGTTCAAGAAATTTAACATACATTTTAAAAACGCTACTTTATATTTCCATTTCAGCGTGTGCACTATTCCCATATCCATAGGCTGAATGATAAACATACAATTTGGAGGGAAGAATAATATGGATACATTATATTTTGATGGAAAAGCAAAGTTTAAAGTTTATAAAATTAAACACTTAGCAGCAGTAGCAATAGAAGCTCCCTAAGATTATATGTTGTGCAGACATTGAAGACAATAAAAGGTTTCAAACTTAACCAATTTATTAACAATATATATATATATAAAAAAAAAAAAAAAAAAAAAAAAAAAAAAACACAATGAATAAATTTAAACAATATCAGTAACTTAGAAATTATAATATAACCATCATTATCAAAATTTCATATATTAAATAGTATTTTACCTGGTCTCCAAAATACTGGCATTCAATACGCGTGAAAAACGTATCCTAAACAGAAATTATGCAGTTTTAAAATGAAATTAGCTACACTGTCAATATGGGTCCACGCTTAATGATCAAAAAAAGGCACCTGAAAATTTAAAAGTCCTTGAGGAGCACTTAAATCCGGCCTAACTTCGCTTACTGTAGTTGAACACGAGGAATCATAGCCCAGTAAAACATCGCCACTAACTTATGTTAAATGCCGCCTTCATGAAGAACATGGATGTCGCCTATGGCAGTCACTCATCTTGTAGACAGGAACTAAGGAACTTATTCCGGAAAAGTCAACTTGTAGACTGGAACCAAGGAACTTATTTGGGAAAAACCATCTTGTAGACTGGAACCTCGGAACTTATCCGGGAAAAACCATCTTGTAGACTGGAACCTCGGAACTTATCCCCGGACTGCAACGCATTGCAAAGACGTCTTTCAATAGGGGCTGGAAAAACCGCACACCCAAGAGCGAAAAGAAAGCAGGAACTAGAAGGGCTGAGCCAGAGCGACGCGAGATACTTATACCAGAAGTAGGCATGACGTCACCTCACGGCAACCAATCAGCTATCGGCACGACTCGGCTTTCCAGATGACATAACATCACGTTTCGTTTTTGCATCTCAATTAAGCTGAAACAGTCCGTTCTCAACACAAACAGTGGCAGTGAAAAAAAAAGTAGAAGTAACTACTATATCCCTTTAAATTAAGAACTAAACTAGATAAACATTTCAAGGAGGAGAGATGATGCAGAAAAAGGGTTACAATAAGTCATATTTTCCAACATATTTCACTAAAACTTTAAGTGAAGTATGCGCCAAACAGTTGTCAACAATCAGGACTATTTTTGAGTCATCAGGTAAACCAACCAAATTCAAATGTCGTTGAGCCTCGGGTATAAAATGATTTTCAAACCAATTATTCATCAACGCTTGTGTCATCCATGCTCTTTTATTTGTGCGATATATAAAGGGGAAAATCGTGGTTGATCTTCACAATATGGTAACTGGTAGTTTGGCGACATTTTGGAGGCGATAAAGGTTACTACCTGGGACTTTGGTAATAATGTGAGCAGTACTCAGTTCCGATTACGCATTATTTTGTGTGAGGGAAATGAGAGATCATGGGATATGTCATGTGATATTAATGGATGAATTACGGTTCTTTAATCTGAAAAGGGGGGAAATCGGGAAAAAATCTGGAAATTTTGTATTTGGCTTTATTCTGTGTTGTGTGAAACAGTGTTCGTGAATTTTTGGATCCCATGGCCGTAACTAAAGTGAATTCGAAATGGGTATTTATGTATGTATTAATTTAATGTATGTGTTCATTTATATTTTAAGTAGTGTTTTTGAATTTAATTATATTTTAATTAAATGATAGTTATTTTGTGAATTTTATGTTTGTAGGAATTTGGTATACGTTTTAGTTGAAGTAAACGTGCATGGAAATAATTTAAATATCTGACACTAAGTATTTGTAATGGTTGCGGTATGAATTCGTTGGTGACGTGTATAATGTAATAGATGATTTAGAGGTAAAAGTTTTTGGATATTTTATTTATTTTATATGTTGAAATGTTCATTACTTTTCGCGATAAGGTAATTTCATACAAGTTCTTTTTACCGGGTTTAAAGATTGAGAAAATTGTCATGTATTTTCGTGAAATTTTTCTAATTTATGAGAAAAAAGCAGTGTACATGGATATAGTGAAGAGTGTGCACAATGCCATTTTTGTGCAATTCTGGGATGTTTTTTTTAAGTAAAAATAGTCGGCGTGTACATGGTTTAGTGATATTTTAATTAAATGATAGTTATTTTGTGAATTTTATGTTTGTAGGAATTTGGTATATGTTTAAGTTGAAGTAAACGTGCATGGAAATAATTTAAATATTTGATACTAAGTATTTGTAATGCTTGCGGTATGAATTCGTTGGTGACGTGTATAATGTAATAGATGATTTAGAGGTAAAAGTTTTTGGATGTTTTATTTATTTTATATGTGGAAATGTTCATATTTGGAAAAGGTAAATACTTTTTCGCGATCAGGTAATTTCATATATGTTCTTTTTACCGGGTTTAAAGATTGAGAAAATTGTCATGTATTTTCGTGAAATTTTTCTAATTTATGAGAAAAAAGCAGTGTACATGGATATAGTGAAGTGGTGTGCGCAATGCCATTTTTGTGCAATTCTGGGATGTTTTTTTTAAGTAAAAAAAAATAAGTTGATGTGTACATGGTTTAGTGATATTTTAATTAAATGATAGTTATTTTGTGAATTTTATGTTCGTAGGAATTTGGTACACATACAACGTTTAAGTGAAGTAAACGTGCATGGAAAATAATTTAAATATTTGATACTAAGTATTTGTAATGCTTGCGGTATGAATTCGTTGGTGACGTGTATAATGTAATAGGTGATTTAGAGGTAAAAGCTTTTGGATATTTTATTTATTTTATATGTGGAAATGTTCATATTTGGAAAGGGTAAATACTTTTTCACGATCAGGTAATTTCATATATGTTCTTTTTACCGGGTTTAAAGATTGAGAAAATTGTCATGTATTTTCGTGAAATTTTTCTAATTTATGAGAAAAAAGCAGTGTACATGGATATAGTGAAGAGTGTGCGCAATGCCATTTTTGTGCAATTCTGGGATGTTTTTTTAAGTAAAAATAAGTCAGCGTGTACATGGTTTATGTGTATGTGTTATTTTGAAAAACGCGTAAGGAGTATGGTATTGTGTGCACTTTTCCCAATTTTGCAGTGAATATTTGTCATGATTAAGCAGTTTTGTTAGATAAAATTTCTAGCATAAGTGTAATTCGGCTAGTAGATTGTTGGAAGAAGTGTTCAGTAGATAAAAAGAAAAGAAACATGTCTTTACTTCGTGAAGACAAAATGGCAGCGGGGAAAAAAAATAGAGGGTGGCTGTAGGAGAGTTGGTCGCCAAATTTTCGGCAAAAAAACGCAAATTTACCATAATGTAAAGATCAACCAAAATCGTTACTCCTTTAAATGCTCGAGGTCATGCATGTTTTCTGATTATGAAAGGTTTGCACTTGTGCGTTCCTGCAGCAATTGTGCACGCTAAAATTGTTAGTCTCGCTTTGGAATCTGTGACACCAGTTGGAGCCTTTTCTGTAGAGGTTGCCAAGGTACGAGGCGTATTCGGAAACTAAGTACCATTTTGAAAAAAAAAAATAGTAAAACAATTTTTTCGAATCCAATTTTATTTTTACATGAAAATACATGTCTTAAACTATTTTTCAACATAGTTTCCGCCAATGATCAAACACTTGTCATAGCGGGTGACCAGTTTTTGTATACCATCGTCAAAGAAACTTCCCGCCAGTTTCGATAACCACGACTCCACATCATTTTTCGTGTCATCGTCAGATCCAAAGCGCTTGCCACCAAGCTCGCGCTTCATGTGCGAACGTGAAAGTACGTGAAATTTGTGGAAATGCCTCTGAAAGAGTTGTCATTGTGAAGCGTCTGTTCTCATGAATTGCTTCATCAACTTTCCTTACCAAATCATCGGTGACAACAGAAGGCCGACCAATCCGAGCCTCGGCGTGGACATTTGTTCGACCTGCATTAAACATTCTTACCCACTTTCTCACCATTCCATCACTTACCGCGTATTCACCGTAAACTTCTGTCACTTGACGATAAATTTCGACCGGTTTAACATTCCTCGCGTTCAAAAATTTAATCATGGCACGAATCTCACACTCAGCGGGAGAACTAATTGTCTTAAACATTTTGAATGTGCACAGCAAACTGAAAACACAACATAGAGCAACCAAAATGGCGACAATTGAAAGTCAGTAAACAAGAAAAACTAGTGCACATGCGCGGGACGCCTACCACAGTGCTGCGATGGCGCTAGAATGAAACAGTACTTAGTTTCCGAATACGCTACGTATTTTGCGGTACATATTGCCAGAAGAAAACAGTTTCATCAGCGTTTTTAATTTGTTCTGGAGATAATTGTTCACTAGTAATGAGTTCAATGAATTCATCAGCAAATTGTTCAGCAGCTTCAGTATCAGCTGAAGCTTTTTCACTTGATATTTTTAATTGTCTTACACCATGGCAATTTTTAAATTTGGTTAACCAACCTGTCGAAAATGTGCATTCAGTGTTTAAGTTCATTTTTTTATGAAATATTTTGGCCTGAGCCATTAGCATTGGACCCATAAATGGCACGCCCTCGCTGCAGCGATCTCTGACTCATTCAATCATCAATTTGTCATGATCGTCACTTTTAGCATAACAGAACCCTTTTTCTGGTATTCATTGCAAGTGGGGTGTCGGAATTCACAAAAAATTCAAAAAGCTCCTTTTTCTTTTTGCTTGCAACTGTCATATACAGTTGACTTTCCAATGTAGTACTCCTCGCATAATTTTGAGACAGATATGCCTTTATCCATTTTTTGCAGCAATTCCACTTTTTGTTTGATGGACATCGAAATGTGCTTTTGCTTTGTAGATTGTTTGACAGCTCCATAATTGGAAACTCTTTTTGACATAATCAAGAGTTCAAGCTTAATTTTTATAAAATTGCTCAATCAGTCTGCAAAAAATAATAAGCCGGATCCAATTAGAAGATTAAGGAACAGTGCAATCTGCAACATTAACTGAAATGCCTTAGAATCAGTAAAGATAATTTTAGCCTAGCTTATACCATCCATTATACATTAAACGCGCAAGTGTAAAGCATACAAAAAAAAAAAAGTTTGTGGCTTTGAGATTCGGATTATAGATCATTCCAGATAATGGACGTCCGGATTAGAGACTTGTACTATAGTCAATAAGTGAAGAATACATTACACGTGGAAAGTGAATAATGAATACTACAACATGGAAAATGTTGGATAGAAAATGGAAAATGCAAATAGAAAATGAGAATGTTACAACGTGGAAAATTACGAACAGCAATGTAAGGAACCAAACATATACAAAGAACGTCTTATTCTTTGACACAATGTACCACAAATAGTTACTACCTTGGAACATGCAAAGGTTACTATACTTGAAGTGTTATCATCACTGTTGGCGGTGTTTACGTTCACCAGGTTCTCTGCGTAAGTTCTTTCCAAAACAAACATTAAGCATAAAATTTTAACAGTGCAGTGTGATTTCTTCTTTAGATATAAATCCTATTATTTACTACTTTCACAAGTCAAATAGTGGATACCACAATCTAAAAGATTCAATATATTACACGCTAAAATACAAAGCAAGAAAGAAATTATTAAATATTAGGTAATATGGCCCAAATCCAGTAACCTCTTAACTTAAATAGGAATCAATGCTTTCCGATCCTTTATTGCTCATTTACTGCTTATTACAATTTCTTAAATTTCGTGACAAAACGCTTTATTTCATTTAGCTACTGCCTTAAAATTGGTATGATATTATGAAAACTTTTAATATTGTTGATCCTATAAAATACATAGTTATTAACTTTCAAATACTGTGATTACAGTGCAGAATCGCCCGCTTATTTGTTTGGCACTTTTTGGGCAGTTGGATTTTTGTCAATTTTCTTTAACTTTTTAAGTGAAAATAAGTCGATGTGTACATGAACAAAATCAAGGGAGTGAACATTGCCATTTTTGTGCAACTCTGGGATATTTTTTTTTTAAGTGAAAATAGTTCGGTGTGTACACAAATACCGAGTATGTGCAATTCTTAAAAACGTGCCAAGCAATGGGGGATTTTGCACTTCCCCCTTTTTCGTTCTTTTACTTCAAGTTCTGTTTTAGATAGTTTTGCATGTTTACAGAATTAATTCAAATTTGCAACCATCTAATATGGCAATAGGATGAGTTAGCGATTTTCTAAAACGCGCGAAAATAACTGATTGTTTAAAAATACGCCAAACTAGATCGTAATACAGTCAAATACCAAAAATCTGCCGACCTGAAATTCACATTGCCTCAAAATATAAACATTCAGTTTATAGGTTCCAGAAACTGCAACATTGCGTACGAAATATCAAAGAAAAAATACTTACCGAATAATGACGTCATAATTACCGAATAATAATGAGTCTTAACGAAAATACCCAATTATTGACATCATGATAAAAATTTTTTCAGTTAATCTTTGGATTATGGTAACTTGGCGATTTTTTGGCATCCAACCCTGCTACAGCAACTGCTAGTTTTTGTTTGGACGCCATTTTATTTTCACAAAGTAAAGGCTTTTTTTTTTTTTTAACTCAGCATTTTTTTTCCCAACAATCTGCTAGCCGAATTACGCTTATGCTAGAACTTTTATGGAACAAAAGTGTTTAATCATGACGAAGATTAGGTGCGAAATTGGGACAAAGTGCAGAATCGCAAATTGCTTGCCGCGTTTTTAAGAATTTCACATGCACGATATCCATGTACACGTCGACCTATTTTCACTTAAAAAAACATCCCAGAATTGCACAAAAATGGCATTGCGCACACTCTTGACTTAATCCATGTAAACTGCTAAAGTCCTGCAGTAACCTTATCGCCCTACCAAAATGTCGCCAAACTACCTGTTACCATATTCCAAAGATTAGCCGTTTTTTCTCCTCTAACCTTTGCATCGAGGTAAGAAAGCAGACGATTCACTCAACTCTTCCTTCAAGTTCACGATTCATGTTGTTGTATTTTCTAAGCTTTGTTATTTCACGAAATTATTTAGTGCTTCATCCCTTTTTAATACAATTACAAACGCACTCATGATTTTACTGCTTGCAACATTGAAAAACGTTAGCACGTTGCATTAACGGTAATGCAAAAAGTGCAAATTCTGCAAAAGATGGATATAGGTGCTTTTATAGCAATCGTATGGATTGCGCTACGATTGTGTATGATATACGGAAAAATAAAGAAAGCTGGCAATTTTACAACCATTTTTCTAACACACCGAATCCGAAACGAAATCTTTGCATGAGGCGAAATCGGCAAACCTCCATGCTGTGTATATATAATACAATGAATAATATAATCAATTTATATATGTAGTAATAATTTAACGCATGTAATAAGTTGTAGCAATAATGTATATAATAATTTAATTAAATGTATCTAATACGCCTTATTTATTTTGCACTTTGAGTCTGAATATTATGATTTATCTTTTCTGTCCGGAAATCCGCACAACCGCTGGTCCCAAGCTTTGCGGATTTCTGGATTCTGTATCCAGTTTTACTAACTATTACATCAATACGTAAATTTAATTAATTCTGACATTAAATATATCATCACGAGATATGAAATGGAAGTACGATTCTGAGGCGTCTCCATACTTAATACGAAAATGGATTTAAATGCAAAAGCAGAATTTAATGCAATAAATATTTAATTAATCACTATGGTAACCAAAATACTGACATAAAAGGAAATTAATTCTCTATTCTTACCTCACACTATACAGTACTGTTTACATAATAAGGCATGTGCTGAAGATTACTGAAGATAGACAAAGTAGATTTGCGTCCGCTCTAGTCTTTTTGCGCACAGGGAGAAAAATCAAGCTGAAGTCCGAAGAAAATGCAAATAGCAGTGTCTTTATTATCTAGCCTTTATCCTCACATCATCAAAGATTAAATAATTATTATCAAAACGAGGGTTCGACAAAGAGGTAAAATTTAGTGTCGAATTGACAAAACAGCAAAAGGTAAGCTGCCTTCCACAGTGAAAAAAGGTAAAAACACTGAAGGATTTGGTGCGCAAAGTACATTTTCAAAACGCGCGAATACATAAATTCGGATAAGGTTCGGAGAACAGCCTTGGTTGCGCCAATTTGGCTCCTATAAGCATATGGGCGACATTTCATTATGCCAACGGAAGTAAATATCATGTGGGAAATAGAGAAAAAGAAAATATATGGGGAAAAACGGGATTAAGATGTGTTTATATTTGTTTGGTATCTCATTCCTAATTTTGTTCTGTTATGTTGCATTGAAAGTCGAGTAATGTGCGTCTATTGCGAAAACGCAGGGCAATTACTTTTCGATCCGATTTTATATATGTATTAATATATCACATTCCTGCTCATATGATCATATGTATCAGATACTAGCTACTGTTGACACTTATTTCTGGATGTGTATTATTTTACAACTTTTTCTGCTTGAAAACCCAAGTATTGAAACATTATGTGTAGGCTTGTGAAAATATTATTTAGATATTCTCGTATAACTATACTATAATCTCATATTATTCAGTTCTCATATACTACGATAGAAATATGCTTCTATTATTACTTTAAAAATGCAGTATTTATAGCCTTCCACATAGTAGCCATTCTAGAATTAGTTCTGTAATGTTATATAATGTTAATTGTCTTATGCATTATTTTTGTCTAAATATTCATTTTCATAAAGAAATATAATCAATGTAGAGAATGCGAGTTCAATATATTTTAAAGGGAGACTAC